AGCCCCTCTCCATCATTTAGCAACAGTCCTGGCTAACAGGGGAGGTCCCAGAAGACTGGAAACTTGCCGATGTGACGCCCATCTATGAGAAGGGCCGTAAGGAGGACGTGGGGAACTACAGGCCTGTCAGCCTGACCTCGGTACCGGGGAAGATTATGGAACGGCTCATCTTGAGTGTGCTCACACGGCATGTACAGGACACCCAGGGGATCAAGCCCAACCACCATGGGTTCTATGACCAGGTGACCCGCCTGGTGGATGAGGGAAAGGCCATGGATGTCATCTACTTGGACTTCAGCAAGGCCTTCGACACCGTGTCCCACAGCATTCTCCTTAGAAAAGCCAGTGGCTCGTGGCTTAGACAGGATCCACTGTCCAGTGGGATCTTGGCCACGATGGGGTGGTTTTGGTTTGTTTTCTTTTTTCCATTTTTTTCTTTTTTGATGATACACATTTTTCTAATTCTTCAGTGGGGAAAAAAAAAGGATACATTTGCTGCTTGTTTGGGGCTCCTTTGTTATGTGACCCAATTAAGGGAATCTTGAGCCAATCTCAGCTGAGATTTCTGAGTGTGTGAAGATCATCAAAGATGAGCTGCTGAGCTCACTGTCAACAGGGCATGTGCACTTCAGAAGGTCTTGCTTAGGTGGAACTTTGTCCAGGAATGCCTAGCTTCCTAAAACAGAAGGTACCTTTCAGTTGATTGTAAATCTTGGATTGGGCTAGATCTCTGAGCTTTCTAAGGCTCTAGTTCCTATAGACTGCCCAAACCACAGTTCTTTGTTGCAGGTTGACAGCTCCCGTGTGGTAGATTGGTGCAGTAGTGGGGAAAATCTCTTTGCATTTGAGTAGATGTGCCCCTTTTGGAGAACCTGAGCATTCTGAACATGTAGCGTAGTTCCTGAAGGGGAGAGTCTACCTGTAATGCTCATACCTTGTGGAAAGCTTTCCCACTCAAACCCAAGCTGGGTTTCTGAAGCCCTACGTACAGAGGACTCATGTCCTAGTGGTGGTGTATTATCTTCTTTTTGTCATTAATTTAATCTCTAACAGTATATTAAGAAATAGGTCTGATTGTTGGTTCTTTTAACTGGTTGTCAGCTGAACGTAGCCATTTAAGATTCTCTAAAATATCTAATTCTTCTGATTTTTCTCAGGACTTGACATAGCCTGAGGGTAGGATTGTTGCCCTGTGTTCCAGTGGGGACATGCCAGTGTTTTACCTGAGGGTTGGTCTGAGCCTGGGTTCTCCATGAATGCCTTTCTTGTCTCGTGGAGCAGAAAATTGTTGTTTACTCTCTCTACCGTACTTGATTGCAGAACAGAGTAAACAGAAGTGTAATTGAAAAGAAGTCCCTCATGGTCTTGCACCAGGGACTATTTTGGTAGAGGTCACTGAATCTGAGGGAGGATGTTCAGATCTTCCCTTTGCTTACAAAACCTGGAATGCAGACAACACTGTACAGCCAAATCACAGCACATTACAATCCAGTCTGCATGATCATGCCATTGGAACCTCTTCTTTCTCAGTGTGGGAAGTACTTAATAGGAAAGTTTTCAGTAGGTGAAAGTACTGGATACTCTACTCTTATGATTCTAGGGAAAATCATAAGTCCTCCTAGAGGACCTCTGTTTTTATCATATTGAGCTATTTGAGCTGAAGGAACAAAGCTGTTAAGCAAGCCTTGATTCTGTTAGTCAGACCCATGAAAATAGTTCTCTTTCTTGTTCAGCATCTGTTCGAAGTTAACAGACTGGTGACAGACTTCATCCACTTAGGGCTTCTTACTGCAGTAGGGTGTCACGCTGTCCGTTAGCACTTTGTAAGGGTAACCTTTTGAATCCCTGAAGGAAGTTCTTTGCCATTGCATGTTTCCATGCGTCTTTCCAATTTTCTTATTTTTGTTACTTTTCTGCATTTTTCCAGGGTCCAGATCCCATGACTCCTGTGCTGTGTTTTTTCCTGTCCACCTCATATGCCTGCATGTGGGCACTTTCTGATGTGTGGTAATTGACAGATGTTTGTTGTAGTCTTTCCTTCCTGATCTTCTCACATCCAGGACAGAAGACCTTTGTCACTGAGAGACCAGACCTCTGAGTAGATGCTACCACCTTTTCCTTAACTGATTTCTACATAGCAAGTTACTGGAAACTATGTTATGGCTTGGTAGTGATAGAGCATGCTCTTCAGAATCATAGCATGGTTCAGAAATCAGAGTATATTCTGCAACAACTCAGTCACTCCTCTGTCCATGCTCAAATACCTGTCTATAACACCTAAGACAAGATTTTTTTTGAGATCTCTATGCCTTGAGTCAATTTTTAAATAACTTTTATGCTGTGCTGGAAATCTAATCTGTGTTAATGATGATTTTGTGATTTTATTTTTACTTCTTCATACTGAGTACATGAGCTGCGTAGGGGTTTGCTTGTAGGTGCTGTTGGGATGTGTAGCATACATGTCAGCTTGTCTTCTGTTCTCTTTTCTCCTTGTGGTTCAATGTCTTTCTGATTGCATGATATGGAGATGGATGTGCCAGCAAGGAATGGAGCATAAGCCTTTTTACATATTACTTGGACAAAAGAATTCCTCAGTCTTGAGTGTCTGTGGAAAGTCATCTAGAATAAATTATGAGCAGGTGGACTGAAATAAAAAAGGATAAACTTTGAGCCTGCAGAATTCAACTTTAGATCAGCTTTATTTTCTCTACTGGAACTTTTTCACATATCTAACATTATGATAGGAATATGTATGTTTGGCTGCTGGTGTTAAAATATTTGGCAGTGACATGATGTGATAAATATTTTCCTATTTCTCTTCTTACTACACCATAGCTCATAAGTCTGTGATGCAGTGTTCATTATCAGTATATATATTCATATATTCAGAGTATAGAAGAAAATTTGTAACCTAATATGTCCATGCTGTGTTCTGTCAAATGTCTTCAAGTAGTTAAATATTACCCCATTCCCCTGTTCCTTAAATGCTGCCCACCCTCAAACATGTGGATTATTCTCCTTGTACTACAATATAGAGAAGGAATACTGGGGAAAATAATAATTGCGGAGTCATTAAGTTTTCCCCTTTAAAAGTGACCACAGATGACATTGTTAGAAATACTTTTGTCAGTTATCTTCTAAATGCTTGTTTTAATAGGTTCTTTTAAAAAATTACAAAATGGCTTTGTTTACAGATAGCCGATCAGATGTTCTTTCATAGTGATTATCGGCCCCTTATCCGTGATGCCAACAACTTTGTCCTGGATGAACAGACACAGCAAGCTCCACACCTTATGCCTCCCCCATTTTTGGTTGATGTGGATGGCAACCCTCATCCTGCAAGGTATCAAAGGCTGGTTCCTGGTCGTGAGAACTGCAGGGAGGAACAGCTTATTCCTCAGATGGGAGTGACATCTTCAGGTATGGAAAATTTCAGTATCCAGTAGCCTGTCTCGTTACTTTCAGGTATTCTACACTTTCCCTTTCACTTCGTCCTTTTTCTTCATTTCTGGGAATAGTATTTTACGTTGTGTGGAAGAATTGCAATGTCCTTGGCACTGGTTGCTTGTGACAATTTTGCATAGAGTGCTGTCATCGGTCACGTCAGTACTAGTTGATGCTACAATGCCAGTTAGCTTGGAGCTCATTTCATTATTGGAACAGTGTATGATGCTGAGTGAGCTTTCCAGCTGATCTCATTGAAATAAGATTTCCTGCTTCAGAAAACCTAGGAAAGAGGCTGATCTTCCACGGATCAGTTGGAACAGGTGACACCTGCAAGAAGAGAAAAATGAGAGGACACTTGAAACATGCAAAATTCTATTCCTCTTTAGATGAAGGCGGTCATTCAACTTCAGCTTTCAGGGTTTGGTTAGAGAACTCTGAAAACTTGTTGAGGATACAAAATCTAGGAAGTTCATCAAAAGTTGTATTCTCCGTGTGCACAGCGTGGGAGGAATGTGCATATTTTGGGCCAGTGGCTGGCTGTTGGAAGCTGCCTAAATGTGGTCTGCACGAGTGGGGATGTAAAAACGATGCCTGCTTGTGACATGTCACTAGTTCAATGTTAGTGTGAATGAGCAAACAGTGACTGGTGAAAGTAGCTTTAAACTTTTTGGATATTCTTGAAAATATGGGAAAACTGACCGTGCTTGTAAATCGTGGCTTATATGTACAGCATACTTAAGCCTGTGGTATGTCAGACATTATGGGAAGGTTGTCTGACAGTGTTGTTACCAAAAGATCTCTTTATCCTTATTTGTAGATCTAAGGATTACAAACCACTGAATACTTACATAATAATTTCTAAGGAGCATTTCTGTATGCTCCTTAGCATACAGAATTATAGAAAGAAAAATTATAAAATTAATTATAAAAATTAAATTATAGAAAGAAATGCTACCTGAGCAGCAGTTGTAAGAAGGAAAAAATCCTTTCTGGTGAATGTATGCAATGTTTTATCTCTAACTTTTTAGCTAGTGGCTTTGAAGCTAAATTCAATTTCCAAGAAAGGATGCAATTTTACTTCATTGTTACAGGTACAGCATGGATCCGTGATATTCTGAAATTCTCCAAATATGAAAATGTCTGGGCACATTCTCCAATACAATGTCTTGGAACAAGTCAGACTCTGAACATAGACCCAACAATATTAAGTGTGGCTGCCTGGCATATGAATGCTTATGGGAGGATTATGTTCCCAACATTTTGTTTAAATAGCAAAGAGGCAGAAGACCTTTTTCTACCTCTTTACAGTTTAGCAACCATACACGCAGTTTTATGCAGAGCTAAACTACTTTCATGTATTTCATATGTTCCCTTCCACTAAAGAAGCTCCTCGCTTTCTGGAACTTTGTGTGAGGTTTGATGGATCTCCCTCAGAGCACTGACAATTTATTTTTTGTCAAGTTTTCTGCTGAAAGAGGAGGTGAAATTCAGAAAGTCATGCTTGATTTACTGCTTAGATGTACATGAAGCTCTTTTAAGACAGATATTTTGAAAAAATCAAACAAGTGTCTTTATTATTTCCTTTTTAAAAATCTTGGTATTACTTGTGAAGGCAAAATTTCACAATCTAGATACATAAAAAACATCTTTTTTTTTTTTTTTAGGTAGTAGTTTCCTTCTTTAAGATCATTCTTGGTTTATTAGTAGTATTTCCCATTGTTTTCAGCAGACAGTGTGTCTGCTCGTGAGATCACCACATAAATCTGACTGTCTCACTACGTCAGAAAACACCCAGCTGTGGTTATACCAGAGCTCATTCCATGATTCCAAGCTTCTGCTGCTTTAGGGAAGTTGACTTCAACTACAATAACCTTGAAACCCTTAGAGCACTATCTTAAATATTTATGTTCTTTCTGCAGCCCATAATTTATTAAGAGATGGCCGCTTCTGTCTGGCCATATAATCAAAGCTCTTCATTTCATAGCACATTTACTGTAATATCTTGTGTCTGATCTTGCAAAGTGTAGTTTATACTATGATATCTCTTTGGAATCATGCTGGAAAAATAATTTCTGTAGCTTGTTTCTTTGAACATTGCCATCCCTCATTACAAAGTTTTGCAAGTTCTGCTTCTCTTGCCAAGAGCTCCCCACCACTCCAGCATCTAACTGTTCCACGTGGAGGTATCTGACTTCCTTTTCCAACCAGTAGCCTAACCCTTCCCTTTTTCTCTGAACCTCTAATTTTTTGTGACCATTGTGAGTATGAAAAGAGGTTTTGTGTTGTTTGTGCTTACAGGCTGTATTTTTTGCTTGCTGCCCAGAAGCAGTATCATCACCTTGTGCTCACTTCTGTGAGAACTGTTTTCTGTCTTTTGTTCAAGAGCCCTGCGCTAAAGGAGGTTTCCTGGGTGCTCGGCATATCAAAGAAAATTAGCATCACTTAACCTGTGTCAAGTTATGCTCATGTGGAGTTCAGTCAAGCACTTCTGCTTGCTGCTCTTCAGTGGAGATAATTCTCTTATAATTCAGTTGGAGCTTCTTCATGCAGTTCTTTGAAGTTTCATAATGCATTTGGGACAGGCAAAGCGCGCATTTGAACAATTTGCATTGACCAAGCTGACAAACAACGGTTGTATTAAGCTTCTGTGACTTCCTGGCACTTGATCAATTAGGAGTGGCATGAGATCATCTTGACCCTGCTCAAGAAAATATAATGTTCTCAATATTAAGACAAAAGTTGTCCTGTTTAAAAAATGGCTGTTACAAAAACATGCTTTAGCCCATGCTTACACACGTGATTATATACTGTACTTGTATGTTTCGAACCTAAAACTTAAATAAACCATTTGTAACATTGGTTTCTTCAAATCAACATTTGAGTGGTGTTCTCTTGTGTATTTTACTTCATAGGATTGAATCAAGTTCTTAGTCAACAAGCAAATCAAGAAGTTAGTCCGTTGGATAGCATGATTCAACGACTTCAGCAAGAGCAGGACCAGAGGCGTTCCGGGGAGGCAGGAACCAGTAGTAACAGCCGGATTAGCAGAGGTAGGTTACTGGGGGATGAGTCTTGTGGCTTTTGTGTTGAAACAGTTGAGTTGGAAACTGTAAACCATTTTATTGTGCGTGATTTGTGTGTTTTGTTGAACTACTAGAAAGGAGGAAGCATAGAAAGTAATACAGCTTTCCCATCTTTTTTTTACCTTTCTGCAAAATCTCAGGATTCTCAACATTACAAATTGATCTTTGTTGAAGTTGTTATCTGCTCACTCGGGGAACTTGCAGCAACTCCGTTCCCTTCGAAGTAACTACCCTACTGTTTAATCTCCAGTTGCCCATGTACTTGATTGAAATCTGAATTGTCCCAGATACAGGAGGGGAAAAAAAAGGAAGGAGCTGCTTGTTTCTCAGTACAGCTGTTCCATGTTTCAGTGTCTTGCACTAGATCACGTGGTAGTTTTCAGCACTTAAAAAAGCATGGTTGGCAGCCCACCTGAGTTAGCAAGAACAGCTTGTCTGCAGAAGGATGTGGAAAAATGTTGGAATTTTGCTACAGTGTAGGTGTTTGGAGGATCTCGTGTGTGTGTGGTTTTGTTGTGGTTATTTTTTCTTTTGACTATCTCAATTATTTTCTGTAAATTTTACAGCTTGGTTTCCTTATAATATCCAGTGTTGTCGCTTCATTTTTTTGAAGGTGGAAGACTGTTTAATGAATACACTGATTCAGTGAGATAGCTGACTGTTTTATAGTACGGATCTGGAGTGCAGTAGCAATAGTCAGCTTCGCAGAAACGTTTTCAGAAGCATTTTCAAATAAAAAGCAAACCAGCAAAACATTTGCTTCACTTCAGATTGTTGACACATCTGCTCCTTTTCAATGTGAATTTTTAAATGGAGCATTGTAACCCAGTAGCTGTTTAGTTGTGTGTGTTGTGGCAAATATAGAAATTGCTGAAAGAGTTATATTCAGTTAATATTTGATTTCTTTTGAAGTAACAGATTAAGTAAAATTATATTTTTTTCCTTTCATGTTGAGTTTTCCTTTCTAAATGCTTCACTTAGAATTTCAGATCAAGTGGCACTATTGCTTTTTGACTTTTTAGGATCTGTAAGTTCTACCTCAGAAGTACATTCGCCACCAAATATAGGATTGAGACGTAGTGGACAAATTGAAGGTGTGCGTCAGATGCACAGCAACGCACCAAGAAGTGAAATAGCCACTGAGCGGGACCTTGTGGCGTGGAGTCGAAGGGTTGTAGTGCCTGAACTGTCTTCTGGTGTGGCCAGGTAAACACAGGCCAAGTTTGCAGGGAATTTTAGTTTGATTAACTTAGTTAAATTGAACAGGTTTGGAATTCATGTTGTCATAGAACTATTTGTGTGGGTCTCCTATTTCTTATAAGATCCATTTACTAATCAAAAACGTAGGAAAATGCAGGCCTTCGAGAGTGCCTGTATATTGAGATCAGTTGTTTGCATGTCACTTGAAAAATCTTGCCATTATAGAAGTATTGTGAATAAAAATTAACCATTTAATAAATGGCAGGGTAACTTAACTTGTCTGTGCAATAGGATCTAGCTGTCTCAGTGTTCTCTGACTTGTATCATGAGGTTACTGTATGTTTTAACTCCACTTGTTCCTGCCATTATCTGGCATTTTAACACACTGACCTCATCCATTTAGTGCCTGCGTTGAATTTTGGTTTCCAGCCTGGAACTTTGTTTCGTTAACTCTTATGATGAATGCTTCTGTCAATAAGGCAGAAGACCCTACTAGCCAGGGGCTAACATAAACTGCTCTAGCTTTCTGAAATCAGATGGAAATCTTGCTGTGTTCAGGAGGGGTAATTTTCAAGCCACATTCTGACTGTAAAGAGAAGAACTGCTGTTCATCTAATGTTATATATGTTGAACATCTATTCTGTGATTTGAAATAGATTCTCTCAGGAGTAATTTGCTTTAAAGTTAACATCTCCGTTTTCTTTTTCAGTAGGCAGGAAGAATGGAGAACAGCAAAGGGAGAAGAAGAAGTAAGGGTGTATCGATCAGAAGAGAAAAGAAAACACGTAATGAGTCACATTCAAAGAGAAAACAAAATCCCTACTTTCCCTAAGGTAAGCAGTAATTTGTACCTTATCACAGTGAGAAGCATAGAATTTAACTCAGTGTGTCAGGCCACATAAATTTGTATTCCTCTTCTCGGTTTTAAATTTAAAAACTCTAGGGGTACAGGAATTTGTTTACCTCCCCCAGGATGAGGAAGCATGTCTCTACTGATGTTTCACTGTGTTCTGAATAAAAACTGGGATTGCTGCTGGAAGCCCCTAGGAGAGAAGCCCTGCGAATCTGGTACTGGGGCCGTGATGTGCTGTAAGGGAGCCTGTCGCTGTTAATCAATACATCCAACCACTGTGCTCTGCTGTGGGACATACTGTTCTGTGGAAAGGTTCCGTTAGAACTCAAGTCATAAGTTCTTAACACATTTAAATACATCTCCAAATACAGAACTGGGTATTTTCTCTCATGGTACCCCAATAATCATCTTGCTGGTTTGTATGGGATGTTTCTAAGTCATGCTTTTTGCTAGAGCTGGAGTGCGTTTTTCAGAAAAGAGAAAAACAGTACAGATGAAATAGGAGGGAGAGGGTTGTATTAAAAATGAAATTGTCGTAACTGGCTTGATGTTTTCATGTAATGTGCAAATAAAATCAGTCTTAGGGCTTTATGCTGGTAAGGAAATGTGAAGGATGTATATTCTATATTTACAAAAATCATTTTATGTCTGGTTTGTTAGAAAATAGTTTTATCTGTGCATCTCACATGCTTACCTGTGCTTTTCTAGCTAAATAACCAACTGTATTTTGTAAGAAAGGTAGCAAATTTTAAGCAACTATGAAGGAGAACCAATGTTTGTTGTAGATGAGACTGTTTCAACCTTAATCAAAAGCTCAGTAAAATACAGACCTTCAAGAACACCTGCAGATTGTCCATTGAGGAGTAAAAAAAATGAAGAAATGAAATACTAAGAACAAGTATACGAAAGACTGTGCAGCTCTTAACTTTGTCAGAGTACCACGCTTAGTGCCTGTGCTGTTTATCATTCACTTTCTTGGGGAGGAAGGGACTGGGACTGAAAGCCATCTGAAGAGAAGTAAATTTCAAATGCTTAGTAGTGCTTCTGGTTTTTTTAATAATGGTGAATTAATTTTATATGCAGCACAAAGAGTAAATTTGAGATGGGCAAGTTTCTACTTGATACTAAATCTGACTGTTCAGTCTTTTCTCATACTCAAGCAAATTAAAGTTTTCAAAAGAAGTGAGATGAGCACTCTCCCACCCCCAAACCGTTTTCTAATGTTGGTCTCATAAGAAATTATACTGATAATCCTAATTTCAGTGCTGCAGTCACCAACATTAAGTGTGTTTGCCCAAGATAAAGTGAAAACATATTTTTTCGGTGTATTGCCGGTTTTTGTATGAGGAGGGAAGAAGCTCTTGGCCACTTCCAGTTTTGGAGGTGGCTATGGCAGGGCTCATTAGGGAAATACCAGGACATCAGAAATCTTGGTAACTCTTATTTTTCTCTTGGGAATAATAGAAAATTGGCCTCAAAAATTCAGATTTTTAACAAAGTTGTTTCTTGTATTGAGGGGATGTATTTTGATGCTGAATTACAGACGGTGTTAGTTTAATTAAATGATAGCACTGCTCAAGGGTTTCTTTTTTTTCCCCTTTTGTTCAGCTACAGCCTAGTCAAAAAGATCCTTCCTTAGAATGTGAATTCCTACCAATTCACCCTTAAATTTCTAATTGCAGTTTTCCTAAAATATCACTAGGACATTAAGCAGAGTAGTCTAGTTGGTCCCATGTTTTGGTTTCAGCAATTACTTTTATTACATCTTTCAAACAAAGAAACTTAATATGGATGAATTTGGAAATTTTTTTTCTTAGAGAAATTTTTTAGTTTCCCAACTTTAAAGGTAGCATGGGCTCTTTTTGAGGCCCATATTTTCATTGTGGATATTTATGCCCTTAAAATCCTTCAGAGAAAAAGCTAGCTTAGGAGAATCTTCCTTCAGTTCCATATATTTACCTGAAGAAGAATGTGCCCTTCGTTTATTCCAGCCCTTGGAGGGTCTGTGAGCTGGATTCTGATGCCCAGAAAGTGAGGGAGAGATAACGTGGTAACTCCTTGAGTCACTTTGTCCTGAGGAAATAGAGCAAAAAGCAGACAGTCATGGTGTCTGCACTTGAGTATGTCAGTAAATTTTCCATATAGAAATTACTGTTGGATTCAGGAACACTTTCAGAATATGTAAATAAATCCTTCTTAAGCCCTACAGGATGCTTTTTTTTATAGTGTCTCAGGACAAAACCTCACATTCTTCCACAGTTCAGTCTTCATTAAATGTGTCTCTTGTTGGAGGGCTTGGGTTGTTGAGAAGTACACTAATACACATCCCTTGAGATAATCTCAGAGGGATTCAGAAATGAGTAGGTATCAAATGGGCTTTAAATGGGCAAATTTGCAATAAGGGGGCTTGATCCCAAGTGATTGTAGTCTCCCGATCAAATAAACTGAGATTTTCATTGTTGCTTATTAATAGCACGAGCAACACTCTTGCTCAGTAGTGTCTGAACAATAGGAATGGAGATTAATAAAATCAAATAAACAGCTGGGAAGAGAAGCGTGGCTGACTGCGCTGCAAAAACTGATGTGTGATATTTTTAGGGTTTTTTTAAACTAGAAATTAGTGACTTAATTGTAGCAGCTCCTCTGCTGCTGTTCTTTACAGTGACTGCGTGGCTTTAGATGCAGGCTGTGTTGGGCTGAAGATAGAGCTGGAAAGCACTGTGTAAATCTTCCTTTTTCTTGAGTGTGTGCAGTAGGTTTGATACTGACACCTGGTAATTTATGGTACAGTAGTGTTGTGAGACTACAGTCCTTTTGTGTTGCATAATGAATTCTTATGGGTTTAATAGGAGAATTTATGATCTAGAGGAGGTGGGGGACACCTCAAACAAAATACAGGGAAAAAACATTATCTCCTAGTAATCTATAGACCTAAGAACTATAGCATCAAGAATTCTAGAAAGTCTGTCATTCTACAGTGCTGTCAGCTGGTCTGGGGACAGAGTAAACAGGGCTTGTGTTAGAACCTTGTCCTTGTGTGCAAATTCAGTTGTATTCGTACTAGTAGGAAATACTAGTTTTTATATCAACTTCTGAAATTTATCACTTCTGTTCATATAATAATGACAAAACAATATTTTCTTCTGTTCCCTTCTAAGTGAAAGGAGTCAAAAATACAGAAGTAAAATCAAAAGGAGGCAGGAACAAATGTTAGCATTTTGGATTACAAGCAAAAGTGTAGATCAATAAGGAAGAACACAGAGCAGCTGTAAGTACTTTTTGAGGAGATTCCAAAGTCCCGTTACTAATTTTTACTCCAGGTTCATTACAGGGTGTGTTAAAAGTAGTACAGAATTATAGCTCAATCCTTCTTCTTTAACAGTATCTGCAGTTTAGATGGAAGTCGTGTAAGCAATCTGATATATAAAATCAGAAAACCCACATTTCTTTGACACAGGTCATACTGAGAAGTGTTTGTACGTGATTGCTTGAAGGACTAATGGAGTTGTGTGGGAGAGCTTAAAAGCCTGGGTATGCTGACCTGAGTAGTGTTTAGTATCACTGATCTGCATGTCAAGTGAAGAACTCTGCCTGACTTTGGAAGTCATTGGTGAGGAATAGGGTTTTCTCCAATCATTATTAAAAAAAATCGAACAAAAACCCCTTAATGACAGAGGATAGACTATGGCATTGGAATTTTTGCATTTTCAAAGTGGAACTGTATTTCAAATTATTTTTTTTTTCAGGAGCATGGTGAAGATGAGAAGTGAGATAAATAACATGCTTAGGTAAATGTTCCCAGTTTGAGTAATTAGAGTATTAGTTCGTTAAACTACTGGGATTACAGAGAATTTTTAATAAATATTATAGAGCTGTGAAATTTTTGTATGCTAGAGGGTTGATGTGGTGTATGTCCTAGCTAAAAAAAGACAAAAAATTGAAATATTTCTAATTACCATTAAGTGGAAATTATAAGCAGAAACTTTAAAGAATTAGACTGGAGATTGTTATGGAGGAACAAAAGTAAGCATAGGCCTCTTTTGTGACAGGTGCAAATGAGTGTATTGTAAGCTAAAAGAAACCAGTGAGAAGAAATGCGTGCTGTTGTTTTGCTGAAGGTAACTTAGTTGTGTTCCTCAAAAAATGACTTTTTTCCACTTACGTGTTATTTAAACATTACTTCCAGGTAGATCAGCAAGATGTTAAGAGGAAAATAATCTAAAACCCAAGACAGTAGCACTTAGTGAAGATAATGCACACTAAGCACTGCTTTTGGAAAAGTTCTTGTGAATTTCTTACATGTATGTGATGTGGTAAGAGTGAACACTGAGTAATTCCAAGCCCTGATCCAGACTTGAGGAGAATATGGAAGGATATTCTTCAGCTGAAGAGAAAATGGCAGGATAGGAGGCAGAGGGCACAAACTGTTGAAACAAAGGAGGTTTTGTTGGAATGTAAGGAAGCACTTCACTGTAACAGAGCACTGGCACAGGCTGTTCAGAGAGGCTGTGGAGTCTCCAACCTTGGAGACACTCAGAAGTTGTCTTGACATGGTCCTGGGCAACTTCTTTAGGTGTCCGTGCTTGAGAAGGAGGGTTAGACAAGATGACCTCCAGAGGTCCTTTCTAATCTCAACCATTCTGCAAAATAAAAACTCCTTTGTCCAGTAACAGCTTGGAGGATTTGTTGTATTTGTCATCTGGGGAGAACTCCTGGTCTTTGGGGAAAAAGCCAAGGTTTCCTTTCTTTGTCTTAACGAAGCTGTGAGCATCTGTGTAATGTTGGGGTTCTGATGCTTGTGCCCTGCCTCTGTTTAGCTCGCTAGTAGAGGCTAATTCCTTCTGTCCTAAGGAAGGAGGAACCATTTTCAGATAAAGAATAGATGCTGCTGGTGAAGAAATACCATGAAATTGCTGTAGCTAGAGCTTTCCAAAATTGCTGCAGCCCTGTGTGAAAGTGCAGCAAAGCTGTTTGCTGGTGGAGTCGGGGTTGTAAGGAGAGTAGAACGCAGTGGTCTGAATTGTCAGGACACCACTGGGTTTCCACTGTATCTTTCACAAGTGTTGGTACAAAGACCCTCAGCAGTGTCCAGGTGACATGTCTGTATCTATCCTTCTCGAACACAGGAAGTGCCATCATTTGTATTTCAAAGAAGAACTGTTCTAATGGCAGCTGTAATTTCTAATGTATCTATAGATGTGCTCTGATATTGACTGGAAGCCTTGGATATGATACAGGGTACTTGTCAGCACATAGGACTTTTCAGCAAAGTCTGTCGAGAAAGTGTTGATTGAACCTCAAATCATAGGTTATCTTGGTTTCATTTCCAAGCCTCCCATTAGAGTTGAGTCCAATTTCAAGCTCTTTCTTTAGGGTATATGTGGGGAGGGCAGGTGGAAAAAGACCGTCAGCAGTGTTTCCTCAGTCATGGTTGAAGATGTTGGTGATAGATTCCATTTTGTCAGACAAAGCTTGTAATACCTTGTCTTTTCAGTCAAACCTTCCCACTTGACCCCATCCCTCCCCCAGATAAATAAAGATCTGCCTGGCCTGCAGTTTCTCATCAGATTTTGGCAAAGCTGTGTTGAATAGGAATGTTGTTAAATTATGATTTTTGGCAAGATATGGATCCCTTGTGATCCCTTTTCTGGTCCTTGCTTAAGCAGTGGGGTTGAACAAGGTGACATCCAGAGGTCCCTTCCAAGGATAACTGCTTGTGGTTTTGTGTTAATTTTTTTTTCTCCATTCTTGTTTTGGCGTTGCACCTTTCCCAGAGCAGTTTGGTACCCTTTGGTATCACCGTGGCACAGTGTTTATACAGTGATGTTACTTGCTTCCATGAAGAAAGGATTTTTTGGGGGGTGGCTTTGGGGTGCTTTTTTTCCCTGAAGCTTTGAACTGCCAAAAGTGAAGGACTCTTTCCAAAACCAAAGAGTGATGCAAAGCGCTTCACTTCTCCAGGGATCCGTACTTCTAGTATAAGTAGGGAAAAGGCATATTTATAACAACCATTTGCCAAATCTCATCTCTGAAAAGAGAATGTAAATTTTTAGGACTTCTGTTTCTAGAGAGAAGATTGTGAGCATTGCAGTTGGGCTGTAATATAGCTTCTGCAAAATATCTCCTCGTTATTGTAAAGGATGCTCAACTGATTTGTTGCGTTGGGCTCACATGATTCCATGTCTGCTGGCCGTGCTTCCTTGTACCGTCTTTCACGATGCTGAGCCAGATGGGCTTTATAAAAAAAGTTGCAATTCAGTAGCAGAAGCAAGCTTTTGTGACCTCCTGTGCTTCAGCAGTGACTCTTGAGAGCTTGGCGAGAAGCGAGCAGCCCCAGGAGGGACAGAAGGCTGTGTGATGGTCTCAGGCACTGGTCCGAGGGCTGCCTCAGAGCTGTTCTGGGTCAGGTCAGAGCAGCTTGAGGAGGTCTGGCATGTGCTGCCAGTTTGAATCCAGAAGAAGGAATGCCTGAGGTCTGAAAAGCCTGGGGCAATGTTAAAATGAGCGCAGAGCAGCTTTGTGTTGGTCCTGTGTGCTTTGGGGAAAACTCTTCATGCAGTTGTACAGAACAGGATGCTGGCTTGTGCTACTGAACTGTTGTGGTCACACCTGAAAAAGGGGTGTTATCTTCTAACAGGGAGGGCAGAAGAAAAGCTCTAGCTACCGTGGTTCTGCACGTTAAGGAAAGTCATTGTGGCTAAGGAAAACCAAATCTTAGCTACTGCTGCTTGGCCAAATTTTAGGACAGTTTTTACCAAAAAGTGTTTCGGTTTTTTTCCTCAAAGAGAAAGTTAACCTCATGAACTAACTTTCATCATACATAACAAGAAAGATCTTTCCTGCAGAAGAAAAAAGTGCGAGAGGAGTATGTACAATCATTCTGCCCTACTAGAACACTCTGATAACATCAGTACGTTTCTGTGGTTTGTTCCAGTTCTGCTTGCTTCATCTCTGGGACTGTTTTTTCAACCATATCAGTACCTAATAGATTAGATATCTGAGGTTTCCTTTATGGAAGAAAGAGAGCACTGGGCATCTAGGAATGTGTCCAGAAGCTGCTTCATGGGGTTTGAGCTAGGCTCAAGTTCAAATGTGCATGCCAGAAAAATTAGCACAAAACTCCTGAAATTGAGATTGTAGCTCTTGATTTTTTTGCTGGGAATTGGTGACTAATACAGGATTACACACTTTGTGTTGAGAGCAAGTGTTTGCATAATGTGTATTCTGCAAGAGGAACAAAATCTCTTCATGTTGGCGTGTGAAGTGTTTCCTAATTACAGCCTTAGTTCATTCTTCTAAGCTTGGTAAGAATGCAGGTTCTTTCCAACTGACTCATTCATTTGAACTCTTCCATGCATCATCTCACCATTTAAAGGCCTTTACTTGGTCATCCCTCTGTGCTAGGGGGTGTTTTACTCTGAGTCTCTGTTCTAATAGATCTGACCCCTCAGTTGCAAAATGAGATACTCTGGAGTTCTCTGTAAGAGTCCCCTTTCCGCTGATGCCCGTTTTTAGTGAAATTTTGAGCTACAAGCTCTTAGCAGCCTATCAGTATTTAACTGATATGTACAGTGTAGAGGATGAAGAGTTTTAATATTTGAGATGAGAATTTTGTAGTATATCTGAGAAGAAAGTTTAATTATTTTCAGAATATCCTGAACTGTTTGGTGCTTATGTTCAACTGTTCTTGTGGAGTGTTTTCTTCAGCAGCTCTGTGGTTTTGGACTCCTGGCCTGTTTTGAATTTTGTGACATTGGAACTGGTATCTTTTTCTACCTGGAATATTATTATTATAGAAAATGCTATGTATTAATAAATTATACTAAAAAATGATGTATTTTGACTTTTGTGTTTTCACAGAACCATTCTCATGATCATTTACTAGACACTAGCGACTCCAGAAAGCAGCAAGCTAATCAGCACAACTACCGTACAAGATACGCCGTAGAAGAAACTGCAAGGCCTGCTGAAGAGTTAGAAAATGGACACAGTTCCTCAGATGTAAGATCCTTATTCATGAGGCAATCTTGCACATTCTGTTTCTACTCGTTAAGCTCCTGCTTCAGCTAATTAAACATTGTTTCTAGTGGAAACTCAGGATACGGTTTTCATTGTTCATTTCCTTCTGCCTCTTTAAAAACTGATGGTGAATTGGCTTTTCAGGTGTTGGCTGTATGTGTTCAGTTTTGACTAAAAAAAGTAATCGACAGAAGGGAGAAATGCTCATTTGTAAGGGTGTTCTGCAAAGTAAATGTGTGCAATGTTAGAACTTCCCTGTATTTGTGAGCCTGGTTGGTTTGGCCCGTGTGCCCTAGCGTATGGTCAGTGGCTCTAGACGGCCGTGCTTGAACAGGGGGGTTGGATAACACGGCCTCCAGAGCTCCCTTCCAGCTTCAACCAGTCTGTGCTTCTGGAGCTACAGTGGAAAAATGAGTAATAAGGGTATATAAGGTTCATACTGGGATTTTTGTTTTATATTAATTGAAATGTGGAAATACTACATTAAAAAGGGCTGGAAGTAATTTTCAGAAAGGTAAGCCAGTCTTTTTAAAAGGAGACTGAGAAGCACTCGGGTCTCCACTGGCTATATGTTAAAAAAATGCTGCTCCACACCATGCTTCTGTCCAGGCACAGGTATTTTCTTACTTTTCGTTTAATGAAGTCCATTAAAGTATCTGCAAGCTAAAACGCCTTTTTAACAACATAAAGCTTTTATAATGCTGTAGTTTGTAATGCATATAAAGCCTAGAAGAGACTTAGTCATATTGTCATGAATTATAACTTTTTGAGTTCCAAAGAAAATACTTTCTTTTTCCCTGCCTTCCCCTCTGCACCCCTCTCACCTCCCCCATTAGGAAGGGGAAGTAGCTGTTGCCAGCGGTGGGACATCAGAAGACGATGAAAGAGCGTGGCACAGTGATGGCAGCTCTAGGTAAGTGACAGTAGACCTTACAGAGAAAAGTCTTGCTGATGAATTTTAAATAATCTTTTCTGTAAAGAGTTAATTAGTAGTAGCTAAAACTTGTGCAGATTTATTTTTCATCTTCTAATTTAAAGGTTTCAGGATTTCATCTTCGGCTGTATTATGAACTAAAATACAGGGAAGGTTTCTTCGTTGTTTGCCAGAAGCAGAATTGTTTCTGATGGGTTTTGCAGGGGGGTTATCCTTTGCAGGCACGTGTCTTCCAGGTGTGTGGTAGCGGTTTCCTGTGGCTGTCAGTCTGAGCTGTGTGACTGCCTCTGTTGACCCTTGGTTTGAAATTAGGGAGCAAAGATTGAGATAGCTTCAACCTACCTTCTTTAGCAGATTTTTTTTAATTAACTTTTGTTCAAAGCTATTCAGAACCAGAAGTCCTGAGAACACATCCCAACTTTAACATGTACCATCTTGAATTCACCAAATGAACAGTGGATTTACTTTTGGTGAAGCTGGAAGTTGAGATTCTTACAAGACTGAATGATCTCAAGGCTTTTGGTGTACTACCATTGAAACTGTAGATAGAATATAGGGGTTTAGGCACTGGTTTTAACTATTAAAACATTGTAGTTGTCTAGATTGTTAACTATAATATTGTATTGGAATATGCTCTTTATCCCACAGCACTCTGAATTGCTTTTTAACTTTCATTTTTTAATTTCTTTTTTCCTTTGGTGTATCCTATGTAGTGACTACTCTAGTGATTATTCTGACTGGACAGCAGATGCAGGAATCAATCTGCAACCACCAAAGAAAATTCCTAAAATTAAAACAAAGAAAGCTGAAAGTAGTTCAGAAGATGAAGAAGGACCTGAAAAACAAAAGAAGCAAATGAAAAAAGAAAGGAAAAAAGGAATTGAAGAGAAAGATGGACCATCAACATCACCAAAGAAGAGAAAACCCAAAGAGAGAAAACAGAAGGTTAGATTGCTCTAATTAGAATGCTCTAATCTAATAGATGCTCACTCCTGCTGTCTTAGAAAGAATTAGATGAATGATTCAGTTACATATTCAACTTAACATTGCCTAATTTGAAAACATATCATAACTTTTACTACTAATAAATGATAATTACTTACTCTTGTAAGTCAAATTATAAATTGCTGTAAAGATGCACTTTCTAAATACGATGCGTTTCACTTCAGAAACACTTCATCTCCTTAACACCATCTTTTCTCAGACCAGAAACTTCCTTTCTGTGGATGTATTGAGTATTGGTATAACATCTGCCTGTATTTTTTCAGCTGTGCTGTCTGTCTCCCACTTAATTGCCATTTCTTTTAGGTCTGTACAGTCATGCCTTTTTTTTCTGTTGATTCCATGATGTATGATATTTGCATCATGCTTGCCACTAGGGGATGGGGTATCTACCGCCTCTCTGGGCAACCTGTGCCAGTGTTTCGCCACTCTCATTGTAAAAATTCTCTTCCGTATGTCTAGTCTAAGTCTACCCTCTTTTAAAGACCATTACCCCATGTCCTATTGCAGCAGGCCTACTGAAAGGTTTGTCCCCATCTTTCTTGTAAACCTCCTTTAAGTACTGAAAGGCGGCAATAAGGTCTCCCCAGAACCTTCCCCAGGCTGAACAACCCCAACTCTCTCAGCCTGTCCTCACAGGAGAGGTGTTCCTGCCCTCTGATGATTTTTGTGGCCCTCCTCTGGACTCACCCCAACAGGTCCCTGTCTTTCCTGTGCTGAGGACTCCAGAGCTGGTTGCAGGACTCCAGATGGGGTCTCACAAGAGCAGAGTAGAGCAGCAGAATCATCTCTCTGGACCTGCTGGCCACGCTTCTTTTGATGCAGCCCAGGATGTGGTTGGCTTTCTGGGCTGTGAGTGCACGTGGTCAGCTCCTGTCCAGCTTTTCACCCACCCGTGCCCCCAAGTTGTTCTCTTCAGGGCTGCCCTCAGTCCCTTCACCCCTGTTATGGGTTGTCTGATGGCGAGGA